CATCTGCTCTCATTCATGGTATTTTTTGCTGAAATATTTTAAAGTAATCGCAGACATCATGTTATTTCACCCATCAATATTTAACTAATTGAAATAAATGTTTAATGACTAGCCATTTCTCTTGAGAGTTTTTTAAGTGGCTTTAATACCTGTGACAGCTCATCTCTTGTTATAAGTACTTTGTCTCTTATATTTTTATCAAAGATCTTGGATGACCTTCTCTAAAGCAATCATCTCTCTGGTTTGGACTGACCGTTCATCAAACCGTAACAGTTCCCAGTTAAATGGTGTCTCAACCAAATGCGCTATTTAATAAGAGAGAAAATTGGAGCTCAAAGAGGTGGAATGTCTTTTCCTAAATAAAATAACTGGCAGAGCCGATGAGCTTAATACCTGTGGCAGCTCATCTCTTACCAGGAGGGCGGACACCTACACATCAGATCCTGTGCATTCACACCATTGACTTTCTCACACACATTAGTTCTTCTTCAGGAGTGACCTTTGTTTTTTTAATGGAACAATAACTAAATGACTACATTCATTCTTGGGTGCACAGCTCCACATGCCTAAAGTGGCCTCTTCCATTTCTGATAGCTAAAGTATCTCTGCAGGGGTGTGCTGTTTTCAGATGAAAACCAATGTTTTCCAACCCTGGCTACACTGTAGAATCACCCTGGGAGCTTCTAAATATGCTGGTATTGAGGACTGGTACTTTTAAAATAGCACTTCAATCTAGGCAATGATCATTGCTGGCTTAAAACCATTAGGAGAACTGTTGACGGGGGACTTTACAATGAAAGGGTCGGGCTGGAAACCCTGAACCAACTGGTTGATCTAAATGGCACCACCTAGTGGACCTACCAGGCATTATGAGTCTCAGGCTGACACAACAGGGGGTAAACAACTCCATGCAACACGCGTGCCAGAAAAAGTGCAACTGAATCTAACTGAGCTGCTTTCTGGTGGTCTTCAAGAAATACTGAGGATAGAGGAACACATTAAAGGGCACCACTGGAAGAAACCAGACATGTCAGAAAGCAGTGTTCTGTGGTATGTGTGATAAAGGTGGTTAGATGTCTAATAAACAGAACATCCTTTGGGGAGGAAAAAAAAAACTCTACATGCAGGAAATATGCCCTGGATTATCCAGTAAATTATGGTATGGGGGTGGAAGGGAAGGGACTGCTGCAGAATAAAGAGAATCAAGTGATGTAATACGCAAAAATAACAAAAGCTTTTTTGAGGGGGGGATGAGAATGCAAGCAAACTAAATTTAAAAAGATACCTTAGAAATAACTTGCGGAAGTTTGAATAGGGAATGGATATTACATTAAGGAGCTTTTTAAAATTTCATCAAGCCTTTACATTTTTGTTAAGACTGGTAGTTACATTTAAAAAATCAGAATTGCACACAGAAGTGCTTAGGGATGAAACAACATGATGTGTGGGATTTTCTTTAAAATACTCCAAAGAGAAAATAAAAGGGGCATTGATGAACCAAGATTGCCAAAATCTGATAATTTTTGAAGCTGTGGGATGAGGTCATAGTCTGTATATGTTGAAAAATTTCCACAGTACAACCTAAAACAAAAATAAGCCACAGACCAATGAAGTGAGAATTTCTAGGGGATGCGACCCAGGCATCAGTTTGTTTTGTTTTGTTTAAGCTTCCTACATATTTCTGTTACACAGTCAAGGTTGGAAACTAGTGGTAACCGTTTCTTGAGGGAAAGCATTGAGATTTAGGACTAAAAGATTATTCTGAAAAAGCCATCAAGTTCTGAAATGTTTCCAGTTTATTTTCCAAGGTTTTAAAAATCAGCACATTTTGTGAAACTGAATTGTGTACTCCCAAGAAGTCCTTGGTAAAGTGAACCTTGAGATTTTATACTTATTTTATCTATACATGATGTCAAATTTGAGGTGTATCAGAACTTACATCTATAAATTAGAAGTAGTTATATTGAAATACAATTAAGTTTATGTAATTAATTAATATAATTATATTAAGTTAATATAAGTATTACATATATGTGTTTATTTATATATTAATATAATTATGTCTATATGTATATGTTTATATCATATGAACTGTTTTAAATTTTACTTAATATAATTATATTAATATAATTAAGCATTATATGTGTATATGTAAATATTAAATGTAATTAAGTATGTGTATATATACATAATATGTAAGTATACATAATTAATATTAGCTAATAAATATTTCAAATTATATTAACTTGATTATATTAAGTTAATATAATGATACACATACACACATATATAATACTTACATGCATTTATGGCTGTTATACAATTATACTGTTATACACAGTGTGAAATATACACAGTATATTATAATAGCAGCAAACGTAAGTCCTGAATTTTTGCATGCTCTCAATTTCAGATGTTTCATTCCATTATTATAGTGCCTGTCCCAGTTTTTGATTCAGAAAAACCTCGCTTACAGAAGTGTTTCCTTTCTGGCATGGTCGCTGTGCTGCACACAGAGACCCTTCTCACAGGAATGCTTTTTGGTGTATAAAGTACACAGTCATTTATCATTTGTTCAGAACACGTTTATGGAGTGCCTGTTATGGGCAAAGTATACATGATTTGGGGGTGCTAATCATTTGATTATGTCACCATTTTTTGGTGACTCTGATATTAAGCTTTTAGTCTACTTCGTTAGGATCTGGTCTTGAATTTCAAAAGAAGGAAAACAGGCTCAAATTGGAAAGTCAATGGGAAAAACGTCTGACAACAATAGACTTAGAGAGAAACTTACATCTGTAACTGAGTGAAAGGAACCCTAGAGGATGTCCAGTAAGGCTCCATCCATGGCTGATAGTTCAGTTAATAATGACACTGGGAAAAGCTATATTATCTAACTTCTTGAACTTGAACTCTTCCATATGCAAAGAGTTCAAGATCTTGCAAAGACACCTATCCTGTTGTCAGACAACTCTAGTTAAAGCTGATCATTTGTTCTATGGACCATGTGGCCACATGTTCTGAGTTGACAGTCACTTTTCACGAGGGCATGGCTTCCAGGTCTCTACCACCGCGTGTCCACTTTCTCTGGCTCATCAACTGTTAGCACCATGGCTGCCCACACTGAGATGGGGTTTTTCACTGGGGGCAGAAAAAAAGGAGGCAGCATCAGGGAAGGAGTCAAGAGTAGGAGCTAAGGAAGTAGGAAGTAGAAGCTGTTGAGTATGCCAAAAGTGCATATTTAAGAATAAGGGAAAGGGGGTACCCGTGTTGGGGATGAGTGCCCCTCACAGTGGAGGTATGTGGAGGTGAGTCGTCTCATTTGTCCATTATTTACTAAGGGCACCAGTCTGGACTGGTTTATCCCAGGATCTTCCTGTGACTAAGAAAGCTGATGATGGGAATCACCACTAAGAATAAAGTTCAGAAGCATCAATATTTGATGGGTATTTAGAAAAGGAAACAAAAAAATAGGCCAAGGACAAGTATATTGAAAAATGTATAAGTACTTGGTATCCTTATAACTTCTCTTCAGTGAGAGGCAGCAAACCCTTGGGAGAAAAGCTCTGGTGTGTTTATTTCCAGGGCATTGAAGCTCCAGAGACACATTCAAGAGCTATGGGAAGAGAGAATTCCCAAGACATAGGTGTTGGCATCTATTTAAAGGAGAGGAAGGCAGACAGTATAGTATAGAATCTTAAGGATAAAAATAAAGTGAAACATGAGAAGTCATCTTGGGAATAGAGAAGAGCCCTTGAGGCTTGGCAGGGAGGTTGCGGTCATCTCTGTAAGGTTCCTGGCACTCTGGGGGACATTTTGTTGCCTTTTTGACATAGTGTCTCTCTGTGCCTTGAGTTAGAAAGGTCCATCCCCACCAAAAAAAATGTTAGCTAAGACAACTCTCAATAGGAACTTATTTATAGTTAAAAGTCTAGTAAAAACCTGAATTCAAAGTACTAGTAGCAAAAATATTCTTCTGTTTTGTTACTTACCTGGGTAAAAGTCAAATTTTTGCAGCCTTATGGAGTCATGCCTAATGATCTGAGGAAAGGGGATCAATGAAGTTACAGTTTTTGAAAAGTTAAAAAACTTTTTTGAAATGATTTTAGACTCGGAGGAGTTATACTGGTGTTAGAGAGTATTCCCGTGGACCCTGTCCCCAGCTTCCTTCAACGGAAATAAGTTACATAACCATCCCGCGATGATCCAGACCAGGAAATTGACTTCGATACTAAACTAACGAGTTAACTTAGATTTTTCAAGTGTTTTTTTTTTGTGGGGCATGGGGATTGTATAATTCTATGAAATTTTATCACATAACCTTCACCACATTCAGGATACAGAACTCTTCAGTCAACCCAAAGAGGCTCCCGCCTGCTTCCTTTATAATCACATCAACCACTAATCTCCATCACTAAAAGTGTGTCCTGTCAAGAATGTTACATAAATAGAAAAACACCTTTGCAACCATTTGGCTTTTTTTTTTCCACTTAACATAAAACCCTGAGATCCATCAGGTTGTCTGTTTCAGTTGTTGAGAAGTATTTTATTGTATGCATATAACTGTTTATAGATGCTTTTCTTTTTCAATTTTATTACTGAGCTTACTTTTTTTTTAAAACTGTTTTTCCCAGTTATGTGAATTCTGACAGCACCTCTGTATCTTTTAGGACTAAACTCCATGTGCAATGAGTTACCAAAAGGATAAAGGACAGGTTACCAGTTTTCCAAAAAGCAATGGAATGACGTGTGTTTAGCTGAATAAAATATGTTTATCAATTCATTTTTGTATATGTTAAGAACATACTAAGAATTACAGGAAAGCAGACAGGCAATAATCATTATAAAATAGGAATGTCCACGTTTTTAAAAACTCACAAAGGTCCTAAAAGTATAGTCCATGGCTACAGTTTTTGACTCCTTTTATTAGGTGCTGCCAGAGCCCCTGGTACCTGAGGGTAGACCTCAAACCTCTTAATCCTCACTTAGACCTTCTATACTTGGCCTTCCTCCACTAATGTTCCTTTCTCAGCATGGTGGACAGAAAAATGCAAGCACGGTGCAGAAGCGTGTGTGAACTTCACGTTGATTCAGGTGCTGGTGTGTTTCAGGAGTCACTCTGCTTTTTTAAGGATATTGACCTTGGATGGGTTCCCCTCTCAAGTCTGTCCAACATACTTACCCCAAAGCAATTATTCTTGAATATAGCACATGGTTTCCAGGGTCATGTTCCAATCAAATAATGACTTCCAGGTTCATTATTTGATTTAATTTCTTGAGTGCACAGAGTTGTTATCCCATTTGTGGGTCTTGGTACACACAGTTGACTCCACTTGGGTTACTTTGTCTTCAACATGGGGAAAAACTGTTCTCTGTTTTCCCTTTCCTCTTTCAAAACTGCTGAACTTTTATCTTTTCCAAAAAGTTTTCTTTAAAGATTCAGGTATCTAAGTTTGTTTCTGTACCTACATAATGGTGCTTCTGTTAGGTTTGTTCTTTCTGCCTCTTCCATGGAAAGTTACTTCCTCTGTTTCTTCATCATCGGGTCATAATAGTAAGGGCTTGATCTCCTGGCGTCTTTCTCAACCCTTGTTGCATCTGCTAATAGTTACCTATTTTCTTATAATAACTCTTTTAAAGAACAAAATTGCTTTGGGTTTTTCTGACCTTCTGGGAAACTAGGTGTCAGGTTGGGAGGTCAGTTGCTCTGATCAGGTGATCCCTGGACTGGTCTGGAGGTGAAAAGATCTGGGATTTGGTGCTGGATTTGCCTCTTAACTCCCTACGTGATCATGAGGACACTTCCTGCTTCCCCATCGGCAAGATCAGGTGGATACAAAAGCCTGTGTAGCCGACTGGATTGTTGTGATGACAAAGGGAGATAATGGATAAAGTTCCAGACAGGATATGGGGGTCATGTGCTTGTCCATTGCAGATACACCAACAAGCCACCTTTGGTTTGTAGCAGAAAATTCTAAGTGTGATGATGCTGTTCATCCCTGCATTTTTAATCTTTCTAAAATTTAATCTCATATGCAGAAAGGTGGTGCCAGTAGCACTGGGATACTGCAAAGAGTGTTTTGTCTGAGAGAAGGAGCAGATTGATTGCGTGATATGTCCATCTGTGAACGTCCTGGTTCAGGCTGACCTGCTTGCTGTCAGGCAGAAACGTGGGAAACCTGTGACCATTCTAGAAGTTTACAATTTCAGAACCTATTAGTACAGCAAGAGCAAATTGCTCTGAAACTGGCTGATGGATGACTAAAAGGAAAGTGAGCCCTTTCACCTTTTAAAAAAGGTTAAAGTGCCCTTGTCTGCGTGGCTCAGTGTTCAGTGCTGTCCTGCTGGCAGATAACATGCTTGATACACGGTCCCATGGGTGATAACATCACCTTTAAGTCATGGCTGTGACAGACTGAAGGTGTCTCATCAGTCCTGGTTTCAGCATTCCTCCCACTGCTTTTCAAAAGAATTCTCCCAAAAGAGTTCCTTAAGGACCACCCTGATTCCATGCCAGGAAGAACACCTTCAAAATATTTCATGAGTCCAACTATGGACCTAGTCCGAGCGGTCAGAATCTCTCATCCAAATTGCTAAATTGGCTTCCTCACTAGCCCCCTGAATTGACTCTTTCTCCCCTATGTAGCCAGCTCTCCACATAGCAGCCAATTTTCTAAAAAAAAATTTTTTTGAAATATAATTCTTACTACAAAACCCTCCATCATGAGGTGCAATGCAAATGTCTTCCCGTGGCCTCCCACCAGCGCTCAGTATGATCTAGCCTGAAATGGCCTCTTCAAAATCACGTCCTGCCTACTCCTGTCCTCTTTGCTTGCTTTGCTCTAATCACACTGGACGTGCCTCAGGGCCTTGGCACTTGCTGGCACCACTGTTGGCCACTCTACTTCCCCCAAGATCTTTGCCTAACTGACTCTCTCACTTTCTTCAAGCATCTTTTCAAAGTCACCTCCCTAGAGAAGCCTTCCCTGATCCCTCAACCTCTAGTCATGCTTTATTTTAACTCATGACTCTTACTCATCTGAGATTGTATTACATTTCTTGGTTTATTTTCTATCTTCCTTTCTAGAATGTAAACCTGAGGCTGGGGACATTGTCTTTTTCTTGCTGTATCCCCATGCCTCTATTGACGTCTGGCTTAGAATGGGTTGATGATGAGTATTTGTTGAATGAGTGAACTGAGAAAAGAGTTACAGTGAGGGTCCAATATGCTTGATGTCAAATCCAAACCTTATCAGTTGCAACTATTGGAGCAGGAAGCATTTCTCTTCAACTTGCTAAGCTTTAGTTGGCATGTGTGTCTGATACTTCCTTCTTCATAGGTTACTAGGAAAGCCAAGAGAGGTAACAGATACAGCCTGCCACAGAGTGGCGACCCACAGATGTTCCCTGTGCAACTGTTTGCAGGCATTGCCTGTAAAATAGACTAGAGACTCAGGGGTTCTTCTTCTTTTTTTTTCTTTTCTCTTAACTGGTTTTATCTTTTTCTGACAGAATGATGTGGAGCTCAAGGGGCTGGGGAAGGCCCTCAGAGGGTTGTAGGCCATGAGTTGGAGAAGCACTGGGCTGTGTCCCTGCAAAATGAAAAATGGATCAACAGAACAACAGATGTCCCTGTGCCTCCTGATTCCCAGCTGGGGATCTCGTGTGCAGTGTGAGACGAGTCCTGAGGGTTTCTGTGGATGTTGTGAGAGGGTCCCAGGTGTGCCCTGTGTGCATTTGGATGCCCAGGCCTCTGTGCTGGAAAGGATGGGAAAAAAATGTTAACTCTCCTGCTTGGGTGAGCCGTGGAACATGGGAAGAACAGAGAAACTGTCTCTCTCCTGCCTCGTTTGGTCAGGCCCATTTTTCAAGATCCAAGCCCCATCCCTTACATTTGTTTCCTTTTGTTTCTGTAATGAGACCACTCCTAAATCCCTGGAGCCTGCCTGGTGGAGGCGGTACTAAAGGTTTGCCTATTGGGTGTCTGATCTCAGAGTAATCAGAGCTGGAGCAAGACAGAACAACATACGTATAACAGAGCTCATTAAGATACTGTAAACGCTGATGCAGTACTTATGAGGTGCCAGGCACTCACCCAGGAGCTGTCCATCTATTCATTCCTTGAGTCTTCACAACACCCCTGTTAGAGAAATAGCTATCATTAGCCCCATCTTACACATGAGGAAACCCTGAGGCCCAGAGGCTAGATGTCCAAGGCCCCAGAGTCAGGCCGTGGCAGAGCAGAGCCCCGAGCTCAAGGAGTCTGGATCCCAGACCCCAGTGCCTTGTGATGGCAGTGTGGCCACACCTGCCTGTGTCCTGTCTTGCTCCCTATAAGGGGTGAGACTCCAGGAGAGGGAATCACACAGATCTTGGTCATGCGAAGGGCTGTGAGTGCCAGCTTGGTTAAAACTGTCAGAACCATCCAGGTTGGAAATGATAACATCTAAACTTCAGCACTTGGGCAGTTCACAAAGTAATTTATTCATATTCTCAGGAAGACACTCACTCACCTTGGATTGTCCAGTGCCACCACGGGCCTTGGCACTGCCCCTGTCTTTGTCCGAAGGGCCATTGCCCTCACCCTGTGTGATGACACAGCCCTCCTCTGGTCCAGGGCCATTGTGATGTCACTGTGAGGTTGGCTGGCCTCTCTCTGGGCACCGCCGGCGCACCGTGCATGGAAATGTTTTGTGTGTTACTTTTTGCTCTTGTTCTCACCTGCTCCTACCTTCTTTCCCTCCAATGAATTGCCCTGTGGGACCGGAAGTGGGTCTGTCTTCCCCTTTATTGCTCCTTCCTCACTTCCTGTTGAAGATCTCTACATCTAGTGATTGCTAAATCATTGCCCTTAAGCTGAATGATCAGCCCGAAATACTGAAATGCGTCACTGCCTGGCTGGGTGGTTTTATCAAGGCAGGGATGACAGTGAGAGCAGTCGCTGGTGTTTGCAGAGAATTTACTACATGGCATGGTTCACGGGCTTTACATATAGTCTCCTTTAATCCTCTCAAGAGCCCTGAGCGCCAACCCTGTTAGAACTTCATTTTGCACATGGGGAAGGATTGCTTTTTGGGTAACCAGGACGCGGAAGGCCTAGTTTCACTACCCTGAAAAGAGAATGTGCAGGAGAAGTTGCTTTGCTGTGCTTTGGGAGAGCTGGGGCCGAGGAAATAGGATTATAGTTCTGTGGGCTGGAGGGTGAGTTAGAACACATATGTATGCTTCTTATTAGATCCTCCATTTACTGTCTTTGCTTTAGATACTGGAAAAGGAAGGGCCTGAAGAATGCATCTTCTGCTGGAAAACGAGCTATTTCTTGACTCTTGAGGAACATTTTAGCATAGGAGAGAGCTCCAGGGTTGAATTTTCTATCTGCTATCTGATCTTGGCAGATTTTCAAGATTCCTGGGTCTGAGTTTGCTCATCTGTTGAGTGGGGTTCGTTATAGCCAATGCTGAGGGTTGTGATGCAGGTTAAATGAGATGCAATGTGTGCAAAGAACCCGGTGGTGAGGGGGTGCTCATTCAATAAACATTGGCTGTTTTTAGGTGCTGGCATTCCCTTAAAATCCTAAATAAGCCATGGGTTTGAGATGAGAGTCAGAAGCCTTGAAGTGGTGAAGCGGTCTCCTGCTAGATTGCAGGCTTTCCCTGCGTCACATAGCAGTGCAAATGCTTGTTCAGAGACAGCCCAGAAGGAGAAGGAAAAACCCCAAACCAAAGTACCACCTTCTGGAAAGGCTGGTGTTTCATACAACATCGTGAGTAAGATATTTATAATTATTGAGCCAAAATTTCCACTTGAATAGAAAAAGCAGTTGCTTTTAAACTTCTGGTCCAAATTTAGCAATTACGGGCGAGTTAAAATGTAGGCCATTTGAATTGGATTTGGAGGATCAAGGAAGATTCCATCCTGCAGTGGCGGATGACTCACAGACGAGGTGGCTTGACATAGTGGAAGTGGCACCTGATGAGGAGCCAGGAGACCTGAGTTCCTGGCGTGGATTTGCACGAATACACTGCCTTGGACAAATCATTAAACATCTCAGTTTCCTAGTCTGTAAAATGAGAGGGTTGCGTTTGTGAATGAATCTTTCAACATATATAAGATTCTACTGAGCAGATCACTGAAAACCGATGTGTTATCTGTGGTCCTTAGGGAACAAAGTATTCTTGCTAGTGCTATATGTGTGTGTGTGTGCATGTGTGTGTATGGAGAGGATACCATATGAACAACCAGAACCCGAGAAGTAGACACCTGGCAATCTTGTAATATCTTGGGATCACTGCTGTGTCGTGGGAAAGCGTAGCCATGCTAGTTACAAGAATTTTCTGAAGATGGGTCATTATAAGCGAGATTTACTGGGACCCGTTGATGGGATTTTTCAATGGTTATTGTGTTATGGACGTCATGTGATACACTTTGTGCACTGACACATCTTGAGGAATAAGGTGTTGGTTGACAAAATTCTTTAAACCCACATTTGTGAATATAAAAACGAATTTGGGTTAGCGAGCTTGTTTACTTCTTCTTGGCATGCCTGGTTCTTTCATGCTACTTCAGTTGCAGGTGTGAAGCAATGTTTTGTGCCGAGTGTCCTTTATAAGAGGTTTAAGGTTTTACAAAGTCGGATTTTGAGTTTGGTAACATTTTCCACTCTCTGTATCACCAACCACCTGCAAAGTTAAGCTCGGTCAAGTATGGAACAGATGGATTGGGTGATCTCCCTGGAATTGCTCACTGACATTGCAAGGGTGCCTTCTGTGGTGCAGTAGACATACTCCTGAGAGTCGTGAAGGTTAAATTTTTTAAAATCGAATCCAGTTTTCCCATTGACTTGCATGAGAATTTTCAGAGATGCTTTATCTTCGGTTTTGATTGATTTTCAATTAGCAGTCGCTCCTGCTATTTTAACTCAATTTCATTGTTCCTTTCCCCACCCTCCCAAGCAGTGAATGATACGTGAACAAATCCTGGAGCAGATTATAGTAGCTTCTCGGTACTGTAACCCTGTAGGCAGTCCTGGTGCATATGTGTGTGTGTGTGTGTTGAGGGGTGGTGCCGCAGTGGGCTCTCTGGGAGGGAAAGGACCTTGGTTCTGGTGCTTTCTCTGCTACCACAGAGAAGTGCATCTTTAAGCAAAGTCTTTCTGCCTCCTGTAGTTACCATTTTCTCATCTGTAAGCGATGACCTCCGTTGGTCCTATCTGCCTTCACTATTCTGCAAATGTCGAGTGGGAAAAGGAAACTTTCTGTGAATAATAATCCTGCAGTTTTTCTTCTTATAAATTAATTCTCTTAAAGTGGATTATACCTGTCCATAACTGAAAAATGGCCTCCTTTCATTATCTTTGTTTTTGTCCAGTAGTTGGGTTGTTTTGTTTTTTTTTTCAGTCTTATAAATTTCACTTTGGCTGGATTAGGTGAAGAATCCTTGGGAGCCTTATTCAGCAGAGACAGATTTATTCACTCTTCATTCTGGATGAAGAGGAGGAAATATTTCGAGATAGAGCAGTCATGGAACATTAATTTGATGGAAGCGTTTCTGTGTGAAGAGTGATCATAGCGTCTTCATTGCCCTAACACTGAGAGAGATTAGCATGAGATTAGATTATCCTGCGTACAAAGGTTGTACCAATTGATGGCTCTTATTTGTAGGCTCAGCTAATCTTTGCAGTTGCTGGCATGACTTCTTTTGCAGTAGAGTCATGATTTCCTTCACATGGCGTACATGTGGCAGCGAGAGGAGCACATGTCCCATGTTATCAAAACCTTGTGTCTCCCAGCGGGAACTTGGCACAGACTCAAAAACACAAGAAGTGAATGTGTGATATTAAGGAGATGGCACTGGTCAGCTGGCATGCTTCTGCAGCGAGAGAACTCATTGGCCAAAGGCAGAAGAGTTCGTGAAACAGATGCTCAGACAAGATGGCTAGAGTACTGTTGAAATGTGGTCTAAAGTAATTATGAACATAAGCTGAAAAAGGTAGCCAAGCTATGGTTCTGAATTATAGCCATCATGGGATTATTATTTAATTCCAGTTGAGTGTGTTTCTTGCCAAATATGTGCCAGACCCTCTGAAACAAAATCTGGTTTTTGCCAGAGGTACTTAGCAACTATATTTTAGACTTAAATTCCTGACCCCCTCCTCCCCACCAAAAAAGGAAAGAAGAATAAATTGCTTTCTGATGGAAGTAAGTCAAATTTCAAGCAGCCTTTGGGACCCCCACCTTCTCTAGGAAAGACCTTCCCCCACTGAGTGGCAGAGAGGGGGCAGTCTTTTCCTCCGCTGAACCCAGCCAGCTGTGTTGCGCTGTAGTCTCTCTCCTGGTGTTTTTACAGCAGTTGGTACGTGTGCTCAGTGATGATTAGAACTTGCACGACCACAGTCATCCCACCTCACTGATGTCATCCTCTCCTTTTTGCTCTTCCATGCCAGGGAGCTGGCCAACTCCTTGACCTTCAGAGGCACCAAATACCTTCTTGCTGGGATGCTCTTCCTTCCATTAGGGTCACCCTCACTCCTTCACTTCTTTTAGGTCTTTGCTCAGATGCCATCTTCTCCATGAGGTTTCTCTGGCCACCCCATTTTTCAAAAGCAGCACCCCACCAGCATTTCCCATCACCTCCGCCCTCTGCTTTACCCCATAGCTCTAATGACCACCTGACCGATGACCTGTTGGCTTGCATGTTAGTTCATCACCTGTGTTCTCTGTCTAGAATGAGGATAGGAGGCTTTGTGACTAGAGCAGTGCCTGGCACACAATGGATACCCAATGTATACTTGTCGAAAGAAAGAATTGAATAAATGATGAGTGTTGGATTTGTTCATATACGTTGCACTGGGGGCTTGTAGAAGGCAGCATTAGAATTTTCCTTTATTTGTGACTCAAGCTTCTTGGAGCTCAGAGGCTCTTAAACAGTTGTTCATGAACTCAAAGCAATGCATCACAAAATGTAGTGTGTTTATTCATCAACTGGTATCTCATTAAAATGAGGATGCCGATCCAGCAGGTCTGGGCTGGGGTCTGGGGTTCTGCATGTCTTACCAGACTCCCACGTGATACCGATGTTGCTGGTCCAAGGATGGTGCTTTGAGGAGCAAGGCTCTAAAGCGTCTACACGTGGGATTCAAGGGTCATTATTAGGAACATCAGGTGTCACTGTTCTGGGAAAAAACTCAAGTGCTAGTTTCTAGAGCTTTCTGATTAATAGACTGCCAATAAACAGATCATTTATTGAACTTTTATTTATAGAACTTCAAACGATGAACCATGCATAGTTGATCTGTGTACAGATGCACATACAGGTATACGGGAGTTTCTTCTCCTGAGGCAACGGTGAAGAGCATTCGTCAGATTCTCAGAGGGGATGGTCACTCCAAACAAGGGTAACAACCACTATTTATGGCTGATGATGGTAAACAAAAGAAACTTGACGTGTCAGTCCAATACACATTATAACCACTTGGTGAATGATGGTGATGAAATCAGCACAGATGTTTGCAAGTACTTCACAAGATGGTGTTTTTACTGCAACTTTTTACTTTTACTGCACAAACCACCAACGTTGTAAGTTAACGTTTACCAGAGATGATACTTTTCCCAGGGAAGTATTAGGTGAAATCATTTGCAAAATGCTCAGAACCCAACAATCCCAGGACGAATACTTGTTTTCCCCTAGCAAAGGGAGACAAACCCCAGCTGGAAACACTGGCTGGAAGGGAGGATTTGGAAACTCTGAGGCCCTGTATAAATGCCATTGCAGTAGCTCACGGTCCTTCTAATCTGAGGCCAAAAGACCCTTGGAGGGGTGCTGGTGTAGAAAAGCTGATTTCAGGCACAAAGCAAACAATAGTCCATCAAGAGCTCCACTGCTTTCCAGTCAAGCAGCTTACCCCCAGGTGCACTTTTCTCAGCCAAGAAGTGTGGGCAATTTAGTTTCAAAAGTAATAATCCCCTGAAAGAACAAGAGAAGTCATTTGGAAGAAGTGGAGAGATTAAATAGCTCGACAAAATAAACATTGAGTGCAGTGCTTAGTCAAACGTGGTGAATTCTAGACGCCCGTGCACTGGGATGGCATCACTGTCACCGTAATTGCTAATAACGCTGCTGATAACCATGGCGAATAACCCTGAGTGCCTCATAGAAGCTAGTCATTGTGCTAAGCACTTTCCATTGACTTTCGGTGTGAGAAATACTTACAAGGCTTATTGACGTCAGTGCCAAAATTATTTCTGTTTTGTGATAAAGAAACTGATGTGTCGATAGGTGGTTTATCTTGTTCAAGGTGACAGAATTTCTGACTGGTAGAACTGAGATTCAAATTTGGATAGTCTGATTCCACAGCTCACGCTACTAACAGTTACGCTGTTCTCATAACCGTAACACACCGATTGCTGATGACTTCGGGACATCTATTTGGGAGGCTACATTTTAAGGTTTCTTGGTTGAATTTACCCTCGGGGTAAAGAAACTACAGATTTTTATAAACTTACTGTCAGCATATTACCTATTGCAAGTTTTTTTTGCAGGAGAAACACTAAATACTCTCTCTCTCTCTTTTTTTTATTACGGAAGTCATGGTAAGAATTTTACTCATGAGCTTAGAGCTGCGGAATGACCATTTGATGGAAGCATGGGTTTTGTCTGGCTTGGTAGTGTGGTGAAAACAGCGGTGGTGTGCACCAATGGACTAGGGTGAATGTAAATGCAATTGTTTTTGAAATTGATCGCTTTTCTCTAAAATTCAATTTGTGCTTCTGAGAGTTAGTGGAATTTCAATACTTTAGTGTGTGTGTTGAACAGCGCTTTTAGTTGCAGATAACGGAATCTGCACAGGCTAGTTTAACCAGAAAAAAGTGTTTAGAATCGCGGGGACGGGGCTACACCTAAGATTTCTCTCTCATCAGACAGCCTCCCAGCACCTGTCATGCCAGGGATCTGCCTCCTGAAACTGAGGAACCCAGTGCCTCCCCAGGTGCTCTTGCCAAAAAACAGGTTCTCCCCAGTTTAGTGCCTGGATGTAATGTAGTCTCTGAATTTTTTTGGCATCAAAGCCTGTGTGAAATTCACAAGGTGTGAAAATTCTGAAATATAGTAAGATATTCAGAGACGTTGGGCCGTCACCACAAGGAAGCCCCCAAGATTGTGTGAGTCAGAGACAGGTGAAATGTTGTTGTCCTTCCTTCATTCTCCCCTCGCTTTTCCCTCCTTCGACTGCTCTTTCCCTACTGAGAACAGGGATTTGGTTCATTCCGTTTCCAAAATGGCACCGTGCTAAGTTCACAAGAAGGCTTATTGAGGACCATTGGAATCTGATGAAAATGGTGAAATATGTCTTCAAAAGGAGGAAATGTGGTGAATTCAGTGCTGAGCATTTTTAGCTTCAGAGTGATGGTGGAACATTCAAGGGAACACACAGTGGACATGTGGAGATACGGGATGGTAGCTCAGAAGTCCACACAGGGCTCCATGTTTGGATGACAGTTGAAGTAGTGGCCAGAGAGTGGAGGTTTGCTGAGCAGGAGATGTCAGTGTATAGGACAGAAGACTGAACATGGAACTGTGAAGACCCTCCCAGGTTCAGACAAGAAAGGCCAGCCTGTGAGGGAGCTGGAGAAGGAGCAGATGGAGAGTTCAGAAGACAGCGGTATTGTTTTAGTGTCACAGAGCTTGAAGGACGTACTGCAGGTGATCCTCGAACAGCATGGGTTTGAACTACACGGTCCACTTACACAAGGACATTGTTCAGTAGGACATACTGCAGTACTTCCTGGTCTGTGGTTGGTTGAATCCTGGGATGTGGATTAACCGTGGGTGCAGAGGGCCGAGTATAATTTATACATGGACTAACCCCAACATTGTTCAAGGGTCAACTGTATATCCAAATTGATTGCCTCTATTGACTTCCTTAAGATACAATTTCCCAAATGTAAAACAGGGTTTGAAAGAGAATCTGTGATATTTGAGGTTGGCTTTATTCTTTCCAAATTTGTTTTCAAATCCTTATCATTTCATTTGATCTAAATTCACTAAAATCATTAAATTGAAAATTACTTTTTGTGTGTGGTTAAAACCACTTTGGGTGATTTTTATCACAGTTTAGTCCATCGTAAAGGTAGAAAAGATTCAGCTTGAATGTATTTAATGGCATATTTGAAGAAATGATCTTAAGAATTCTATTTTGGAGAATAGTATCCCATCAGCTGCATAGTTTCCCACTTGGCTGCAAACTGTGATACCTGGGCAGGCCACCTTACCTCCCGCTTAAATCAGCCTTGAGGACTCGATCTGGAGCTAACATTTCAGATCAGAAGAAATAACCACTGCGTGGTTTGTTACTATGAAGCATGTGTTTGTGGGTTCTTAAGTTTCTGCATATTGTGAGAAATAAGGAGGCTTCGGTCATTTGGAAAACATGAACCTGAGAGAGCCTACTGGATGCCAAGGAACAGTCCTGATGTTTGGGAGTTTGGGGTTGAGGTTGGAGTAGGGCTTGCTCCTTGCTTTCGGTAAGGAATTGAGTTTTACTTTGGCTTCAGAGACATAAACATGGAAAAGTATATGGTCTACCTCCGTATGTTTGGGTCAGGCCCTGGCTAGATGAAGGGAAGGTTGGTATCACAGAAGCTTCTGTTTTGGTAGTAAGGGAAAAAGAAAATACAATGTGAATGTTTTATTATCAGAGCAGAAAAGAAGTCCATTGCGTTTTTGAAGATGAGTTTATTGCCCTTATTAATTCCAAATAAGTGGCCCAGGCTGAGATTGTCTGTTGAGGTGACTGACGGTGGACCTTCAACTGTGGATTATCTTTGTCTTGGTGAAGTTCTCATCTCTTTGCTTGTGGACATAATTGGGTTGTTTTGATTTTGCCTATACCACACAGCAGACTTCTGTTACGCTTTAATTCACTGCTTACCCAAGCCCCGAATTGTTTTGTCTAAGAATGAGTGTGGCAAACCCAGGGAAGTCCACAAAGGATGATTCATAGATATATGATGGAAGAAGAAAAACAGAAAAATAACAATGCTTATTTAAAAATTCTCATATTGTTAGGAACTGTCATACATTTATTTTCATAAGCACCAAAGAGTCCATTTAGATTCAGTGCATCTTTGGCAGATAGACTAGTGTTACATATGCACTGCTCTCATCTAGATAGCCATGTGTTTTTAGTAACATCTTATCTTGATTGAAATATGAATGGATTGTGTTTTTACAGGAGAGTCATTGGTTGAATGAATATTCTCTGGTAGTAAAATTAACAGCAGCAGCAGCATCTACAATAGTGTTTATTGAGTTCTGACCATGTGCCAGGCAGTGTTTTAGGCACTTTACATTTGTGAACTCCTGTGATGAGCCTCCCTACTCAGTGGGTCTGCTGTGTAGAAACATATTTACATATGAGGAAAGTGAGACTCAGAGATGCTAAGTAACTTAGACAAAGTTACACAGCTAGTGAGTGATGGGTTTGAATCCAGACAGTTAGACTGCAAAATTGATGCTCTTTTATTCTGTCCTGTATTAATGTAGTTACTATATCAAGTCAGATTTACTTAGAGCATATTTTTAGGTTATGGAAATTGGTTAAAGGATGATAGGAAATAAGTACAGAAGAGAGGGGTGGGGCTGTGGGAGGAGAGAGAAAGAGAAATATCATCCCACCAATGTGTTGACATTTTGATACATTTATT